AAATAACAATCACATACCAAAACAACCAATAATCAAAAACGATTTTTTTACATTCACCCTCCAACCCCGTAACCCCAAAGAAAGGTGAACAATTTCTTTTAAATTTCTCTATATACCCCCAAGCCATTCGAAGGCCTCGTAAACAGCATAGATCATCAAAGAGATCAAGTCATCATCTCGATCCGTAAATCACTTAAGAATCCTTTTCCTATTGCATAAAACTAACCTCCTTATATATCAAGTGCCGTCACCCGTACGGCTACCGGTCCCGTATATAGTATACATATATATATATATATACACCCATATATATATGCACCCATATATCTATACACTGTACACGCATAATCTCGATGAAGATGCGTAAATTCAAATTGCACAACACCAGCTCGGCTGTGCGTATCGAATCGAGCAATCCGATTCGTCGATCCGATTCAGGAACTTAAACACGGGACTTATAGTGTTCGCGAAATATATATATATATTGGTAACACGTGGTCTATTCGCACTCTGGTCCAAGGAGGTACGAAAGATCTAGAACCAACGTTAAAAGTAGAATGTACCGTGTACCCTACCGGGCATTGAGAAAGTTAATTATTATTAAGACACCACCATTGTATATATGTATAGCAATGTCTACCCAGTGACCTTATTCTTAACTATTGCCACGATGGTGTCATCCCTGGATTGAACGTAGTTAACCATAACGTAGATTGGTGTTACAGATTTCACTAGGTATATGCGTATTTGTGTATGCGTGCGTGTAGGTACTTAAGCGCATCGTTATTTAACGTGCTAGGAAGAAAGTGGGGGGAGGGGGAGGTAGGGGGTGAGTGTCAGACTCTTCCAAGAGCATTACTAAACCATGTTGAGCAATCTTGTAATTCCTCTTCGTACTGTACGTGAATGTCCCTAGATTTTTATGGGCTAGTTATATTAGTTGGAAAGGTCTTAAGGAAAAATATTTTCCAGGGGAAAAATGATGTAACTTCGCTCTAAATTCTTGGGTCGAGGTTTTCTTGAAGAATTTACATAGGACCCTAGGGCGAGTGGATGATGATAGAATTAAATTAGGTTGGAATTGAGGTTTTCGCGATGGTTCTGATAGTTTAGGGTTGTCTCGTGGCTTAAGAATTCGATTTTATTTAATTTATAGATGTTTCTTTTTTTAATGTTTTCGTCGTAACTTTTTTTTTGTTTCTTATTGAATGATTGTTACAGTTGGTACTGTTTTTCGTGAATTACGGAGGAGTGATTTTTTTTATACATATAGTTGGTCTTTGACGACGCGCAAAGGGATTCGAAATTGTTTGAAATCTACAAAGCTAAGTGAGAGAAATTTGTTATAGGATAGTTTCAGGTCTTTGATATTTTATTAAATTAGCTCGGAAATACGAACATTGATAATTTCAACTATGTCGAACATATACCACCGTGAAATGCCGTAGAATAGAAACTGTATAATCCAAGGCATTTCAAAACTACTGAAATAATTTCAATAATTTCAATAATTTCTGAACATTTATTGTTCGGTTCGGTTGATTTTCTGTGCCAGTTGGAACAATGCTTTCTTGAATAGATTTTTATACCACTGTAATGTGTTAATAGATACACGAAAATCCCATATATCTGTTAATATTTCCATAGACAGGTCAGAGAGAGAAATTATTATGAAAAATTTGTTAAACAATATTTTATCACTGGCATAATGTTTTTTATCAATTGAATGCTGTGATTCTAAAATTAAATCATTCTAACAGATCGTCAGTGTTATCGCATTAACGGTACTGAGCCTAGTCAATGCCAAACCGGAACCTCCAGTGAATCAGTACTTACCACCAAATCAACAGTATGCGCCACAAGGAAACGGTATAGAATATCCTGGTATCTCTAGAGTACCTAGTGGTCCAGGTACTCCAAGTGGTTCCAATGGTCCTAGCGGTCCTGGTGGATTGGCGAACAATCAATATCTTCCTCCTAACGGACAGATCAATTCACTTGTAAATGGAGGATACAACAGCGATGCCAATGACGTAAGATTAATAAGCAAATTTAATAATAATTTAGATTAGTTTTAATCAAAACCAACATTATCAGTCTTGTTTCACGATAATAAGTTTATCAGTAGTGATTAAAGACTAAAAGAAAAAAAATTGACTTACATTGTATTTCTTTTTCAGACTCCAGCCAAGTATGACTTTGAATACATGGTGAATGATCAGGAAACCGGAAATGATTTTGGTCACAAAGAAAATCGAGATGGAGACTTAACCAGGGGTGTCTACTATGTTTTGTTACCGGATGGTCGTCGTCAAACCGTAGAGTACGAAGCTGATCAAGATGGTTTCCGGCCCAAAGTGACCTACACTCAGGAAGGTAATGGAATTGGAAACGGAAATGGAGGTGGAAATGGAAATCAGGGATATCCTGATTCCAATTCCGGTTACAGATATTAAATACTGAAATATCAAGTCAACATAGAATATCCAAGATCTATATTGATCTGATTTCTCAAAACCGAGACCATACCCGATATAGCGCCATCCCTGTAATATAGTTCATTAATCTAAACTCATCAAGCAAGCAGTGCTAAATTATATTAATATAATTATATTTAACAAATCTAAATACATATATATACTTGTCAAAGGATAGTTATGAGGATGCGTGACACTCACAACGGCAAGCCTATACGTTTTTTTCTAAAAAAAAATAAACCTTCAGACATGTAGCATTAGAGTTATAATCTAATCTAACCAAAAGAAACCATTTGTTAGCCCATCAACTCCGAGTGTCTAGCATGGAAAATTTTTGGAAAAATTTGATGGGAGTGCCGCTTTATGATCCTGACAGTATATCTTACGTATCAAAATGCTATCAGGCCCGTCCTAACAAACACCGAATGTCCTCATAACTACCAATACTCAAGACAAAAAGTCCTGAGAACTACCCTTCTTAAAAATATACATATATAAATCAATCAATCAATCTGTTCTCATTACATCAAAGAGTCACTTCCTCATAAAACCATCCTATGTCCCATCGTTAGCAAATATATAAGGTACTCATAAAGTAACTTCCCAATATCCAGTCGTTTAGAATAAAATTTTTGAAACTGAAATCTTACATTATGACCTTCCTGTAGCATACTCTAATCGGTTAAGGAGTAAGTATAGCTCGTGCTAAAACTCAACAAAAAATTTCTGATTGAACCTCAAACTGGCTGCCTAAAAGTGTAGGTGATAAAAGCACAGAAAATATTCAGCCTTCGCTTATAATGCATATGTGACCACGTGTCTATATCTGCTATAGTATACCTACTATAATGTACTGTATCTAGAAGTCAACTATAGTTATATGGGTTTGGTAGATAGCATAGCTATATAGGCACGCAATACCGCAACAGGTTAAGAGAGTGAAGCCAAGCGGGTAACAGCGGCGTCAGGAAATCCATATATCTGTATGATCGATCCGTGTCCGTTGAAGCCATGTGACGTCAGACAGAGGATGCTGAAAAGGTCAAAAGGTTAAAGAATAAAAGGACTTATGGATGAATATAACGAAATTGATTAAGAAACAGATCTAGGTTATTTTGGTATTAAAAATCACTAGCTTGTTAATGTTCAATTTGTGGTGGATGTACTCGTGATTGCGACGGGGCTGCCTGTATACAATGTAACGCAATTTGTTTTGAAAATCTAAGAAATTTGAATAACTAATTCTTGCCAGGAGGCTTGGGTGAATTTTGAATGCGTTTATTAATTAGAATTTATAATTATAGTATTACTTGTAATGTATGCTAGATATTTACATAGGGACGTGCACGCAAATTTGATAAATTATACTAGACATTTGTTTTGAATATTTGTACAAGAATTTAAAAAGTCTGGAAAAACAAATTAATTTTCATTATGGACATTGCTCACCGAGTAAATAGTAATAAGTATAGTAATATTATAAATAAGATAATAACTATAGTGTATATAATAAATAAGGCAATGAGTATAATAAATAGGATATAAATCACACAGAAAAAATGTGCGAATAATTCAGTAACTTGTCCAATAGGAATTTATGATATAGAAAATTTATAAAAAATTCTAGATGCTTATATCAAAATATGATGAACCAATATGAATTCTAGTAATATACTCACAGACTTTTAATTATCCGTATATCTCAATCCTGATTAGGAGTCTGGTCCAGGTCAAGTAGAGATTGGATGATAGCGATTTACTGGTATACTTCTAGGATTTCCAAAGGCTGAGGACACTTTGCTGGGATAATTGGCCAATGAGGTAAATGTACAAGAAGCACTAATGGCGACTGACAGATAAATAAATATTTGATAGAAACAAAAATTACCTGAGGAAAGTTTCCTCATTACTATTGAACATATACCTTCATCTTATTTTCGCTGAGTCTACGGGATTAATTTGAAGAAATATCTCGGGGTGCGCGTTTTCTAAATGTCGTTTCAATCCAGACATGTTACTATTCATCATTTTTATTGTTTTCGAGCACTTATTGGAGTGAACCGTTTTTAAATTATTTTTATCTGTGGTTATCGCAAATATCTCAGCTCGAAGTTTTCTCTGAGTATCTAGGAACCACGATTCAAAATTAAATTCTTATCGATAATTCTCTCAGTTTTTGTACATGTTATTTACTTCGATTAGGTGGAGTTCTTTTTTCGACATTATCGGTACAGTTAATTAACTCTTTAGTCTCGAGGACGTCGGGAATTTGATTTACTGAACGCTTTATGATCCTAGTGTCGCAAGATTAACTTTCAATTGACAAATATGAAACGAGATCGAAACAAGACAAAAGCTTGATTGTCAAATTCAAGAACAAGAGTAAATTTTGGCTGTGTTCATAATCTTGAAATCGAATGCCAGCTCGGATATTCAGTTCAAGAAGTTAGGTACGGTATCGACATTTTCTTGTCTCGCTTGTCGCATCACTAGAGGAAACGGACGTAGCTGGCTACTCCTTAAGGATATTGATCCTATCTTGATTGTAAATACTGATTGGCAGGACAAGCATTTTTAGAATTCTTATTCCTCGCAGGAAGACAACTTGCAAGTAACTGTGTCATTTAGGTGGAGCCAAATATACTACCAGGTAAATATCGTCTTGACGGGAATCAATGCCCTGCTGATAACAGATTAGCAAATGGCAGAAAGACTACGAGTACCTATAGATAAAAATGAAAAAAATTCTGAAAAATTTAAAAAAAGTTTTCAATACTTACTTCATAAATCCTATGAAGAATATGAATGAATTTTTGTACAATAATATTGGGCAATACTAAAATATCTTTATAGAAAACTACTATTGGTCAGTCAAACATTTTTATAGAGAATTATTAAGAAAAATTGGAGAAAAATTTCTTTTTGTTTCTAATAAAATATTTTCGTGGTTGAATTTTTAAGAAATATTTATTATTTCGCATCTGTTAAAAGTTGTGCAAAATTTTACCTAATTCACTTATCAAGGTTTCAATATCATCTTCTTCTGGTAGAGTTACAGGTCAGTTAATCTCTGATAGGTGGAGCAACTTTTTATAATATATGTAGGAGGGAGTTGGACCAATTCACTCTCTATAGATCTAAGAGAATAAAAGTGAATGGTTCGCTATGCTGGTCAGACACCACGTTTGCTTGGCGCACACCTTATAGCCTTATTCATCTTCCGCAGATGAGCGATGAGCGATGAGCGTCTGTTTCACAATCTCAAGTGGAACATCGGGAGCAAGGACGGCTAGAACGCAATCTCAGTGATGGTCAAGAAATCTAAGATGACCTCAGTGTTGAGGACCAGGACAATATAAGAAAAACAAATAGACAAATAAGTTCACTTAAACGGATGAACGGAATTTAATATTCGTATAGAAATCAAACTGATGATTAATAAATTACATTAATACCCAATATACCTCAATCGACGATTTTGAGTCGATTACTAGGAAAAACAAAAATTAATATTACTGTATTAAAAACTATTATAATAATATTTAAATTTCGATTGGCTAATCAAAATTTACGTAACACCTGGACTGGCTCATCATGTCATAATACCACAAGGTCCAATGCAAGGAACAACCTTTGCTTCGGTGCATCAGCATCGAAGTGCCGAAGTGCCATCCAAACCCTGATGAAGCAAGTTGCCACGTTCGCGAAACTTAGGCAAGTTAAAATTTTGAGACTTGGCTCTAAACCGAAAGTGAACCGTATGTAAATGGTCGCGAAAATCGCAGAAATAAAGAATAAAATTATTTATCTGAGACGATTATTCACTTTGTTAATTTCCTTGTATATTTCATGAATCTCCTTGTCCTCTCAATATGAACGTTACTATTTACATAAGAATTCATCCCATATGAAATGCCAATTCCATACAAGGATCAAGGTAACCAATTTATTTAGGTCTTACAGATCCTTCCAATTAATAAATATCGTTCATTCCTGCCGTATTGGCCAATACTCACGCCTGTTTTACGCAATAACGATGATTCAAGATATGAAAAATTTACTCGTCCACAACTGACATAATCGTTCGGAAATCCACCCACTGATATACTTTGAATAAAATTGAACGCAATTCTAAATATGAAAGCGAAGCGCCTAATGTATTATTAAAAATCTAAGGATCCTGTATAACAATTATAACTTTTTTTTCAAACTACCAAAGTCAAATTACAGGTGGCGTAATTTAGGGGAAAAAATACGAAAATAAAAAAAGACCCATAATCCAACCTAACCTAACCTACGCATGGCTAAATATTATATTTGACGTGAAAGAATTTTTGCTTACGGCGTCATCGAACTCAGTCAGTAATGCCAGTCGATTAGGAATATAACGGGTGTATTAATTATACATAACTCAGATAATACCATGGTACATGGCTGTTTCGTGTTCTGTACATATGAGTAGTACGTATATGCTTACTTTTGGTTTACGTAATTTAGAACTACTTTCTTTCTATCCTGAGGGACTGCAAAGAAAGTCACGAAAAAGTTTTATAATCTCATTGATGTGATATAATAGAAATTGGTTTGACATGAATATTGAAATACAAATATTTTCTATTATATTGCTATTGTACGGTTAACGAGCAAACTGTTATAATCAGTGAGATGCAGATCGTTATCAGTGTACTGGGAAATCGATATAGTTCTTATCGAGCACTATAGCGAAATAGTAACATCCGCTTTTTATAATTAATATACGTACAACACCCCAAACACTTATGAGAATAAATAGAAATATTAAGGAAAAGAGGCAGTAAAGGAAGACTAAATTTTAGACATGATTATTTAAATGAAAACTTTTTTTATGATAGAAAAATAAATTACACCATTAGGCACGTAATAATATGAGTATAAAGTATCTCAATGTTATCTTCGTTCTAAAGAACTAATAAGGTCCAGCTTGAGGATATCCACCATGGCTACCCTGACGAGTGTATCCATTGTATGCTTGTTTGGATTCTTCATAAGTGATTCTAGGCTTGTAGCCATCCTGATCAGCTTCATAGTGGACGATCTGTTTGCGACCATCAGGAAGCAAAACAGTATAGACACCCTGGGTATTGTCACCATCACGAGATTCCTTGTGTCCGAAGTCATTTCCGTATTCATCATTAACCTGATACTCAAAGTCGTACTTGGCGGGAGCCTGATTAAAAATTTTTTAAACATCATGAAAAGAGCTGAAAAAAACTTTGTAATATTTTTGTATAAAAAAATAATTATGACTCACAGAGTCTTCGGCCGATCCGTATTGATATCCGGATTGCGAATATCTCTGGGTTTGAGCAGGCAGGTAACGATTTGATGGGCTGGAGTAATGATTGACGGGAGCAGAAGAGAATGAAGATTGTGATGGTCCAGATGAATGAGATGGAGCAGAGTATTGCTGAGATGCTGAGGCACTTGCTGGAAGATAAATTTTGGATGGCGAGGAGTACTGGGATGATGGAGTAGAATATTGGGATGAAGGTCCAGAATATTGGGACGATGGGCTCAAGTACTGAGATGACGGGCTGGAGTACTGAGAAGATGATGGAGGAAGATACTGTTTATTAGGAGATGCTACATGGGCAGGAAGATACTGATTATTAGGAGATGCTACATGGGCAGGAAGATACTGATTATTAGGAGGTGCTACATGGGCAGGAAGATACTGATTGGATGGTATAGCAACGTTTCTATTCGCCGGTAGGTAACGGGTAGACGGAGATGATCCTGGAGGACGATATCCTGCAGGTTCGAGACTGGCAGAAGCCAAGACAACTACGGAAAGGATAACGAAGACCTACAAAAAAAAAAAGAAATGACAAAAAAATGCCTAAATGCATACTTAAAATTTGTCTTGTTCTAATACAAAATTAAAACGCCTAGATCTAAATTTTTCAATTTCCCCGTGACAGGCAAAAGATATTCAGTCGAAAACTACGTATGAGTCTCGATAATCCAAAAATTGTGAAAAATTAGAAAATTAATTATTACAATTTTTTATATTCGAGTTATCACTGTTACTAACAATTTTGCCTACCTTCATCTTTTGCCGATATGATAGAACACTGGACGGTGTATGATGCCAGTCCGTTCACCGTCGGTTACTTTTATACCAAAAAACGGGGTAACCGAGCCCCACCATCTTCAAATTCGGCGCCCCCGAAAAATTCATCTTCCGCCTTGCGAAAGGTGGCAGGCATTGCGCAAAAATAAAACTGTAACATCCAGAGCAACGTGCAAGGCCATGATGAGTGCCTCTCGCCAGTTTCGGGCAAGGTTCTTCTCTTTCCCTTTCGTAAATTTCCAAGATCATCTCAATCAGTAACTCCAACGTTTATTAGAATAATCCCACGAGTTCCAAAGAAAAAAAAATGGCCAACCAAATATCCCGCAACACACGCAATAAAAATACAAAAATGAATTGAAGCTACTGATCACCGTCACACAGGACCAAAATCTTAAATGCCGGACACACTATGACCCATCCGACTCTGACCCTCTTCCGGATGTCACATGACAACCGGCTTTCCCAAAGACCATATTCAATGACGTAAAATTTCCAAACACGTTCCATCGGAAAACCAATCCCTGAAATTATCATTAATAAATACGAACCACCCGCAAAGAAAAGAATGAGAAATTTCATAATTTTCGGCAAACTTTCTACCGAATCTAGTTACTTTATTAGACTCGAAGAAAACCTAAGTGCTTCTGATCATCCAAAGGATGCTCAAATGTACTTCCATTTAAAATTGACTACTACATAATTTATGTACTATATACGCTAAATTAACTGTTTTCACTTAATTGATTAATCGCCGTCAAAAGTCATTACGAGTGACTTTACAATCACTATCAAATGTCTGACTAGTCACTCAGTTTGATCCACATATTACGATGATCTGAATCTCACGATTATGATACAGGTATAAAATGAATCGGTTAATCTATAGCGTGTGTCAGTTTCAACTTTACATATACATATATCCATATATGTTACGTGGTCATGATCAGCACATTCATCAACCTTCTACGTCGATTTACTAGATGAGTGGATGCGTGGATCACGTACGGGTTTCTTACGTTTCGCATCGTTTCGATTCCTGGGATGATTTACGCTAGAATGTTCAGAGTCAGTCAGTTCAGTTAACTCAAGTCAGTCTACCTGGTTGTGCAACGTAGACTACAGGCATGCATACGCCCATCAAGAATCGTAAGAGGCCATATCTGAAGTCATCAAATCATCATCATTGAAATAGTATCAATTAGGTTGGAGCATCATGAGATTGGGCTTGTTCTGTTCGCGAATCATACTTTCGCCAATTCGTGGCCAAAATTTCCATGCCTGGTCATTTTGTAACTGGTGCGATTCTTTTTTGGTATCTTTTTTTTGTTCAACACAGAACTCCGCTCGGTTAGGAACACATTTATAATGTCTCTACACATTTGGATTGATATCAATTATCTGTGAAATTCTATCAGTTCTTCCTAAGATACGTCCCAGCATTGTTTTGGATCATCTTGGTTTCTAAACTGTCATTTGAATCATTAATAATAATAGTATAAACAATTTGAGAGACAGCCTTGATGCAGATAACACTTGAGACACTGCGCGAACATTCCTATAACATGTCCATGAAGACTTTCACCAGTAAACAGTGTCGAATACGTAGATGAGATACTCAAGTTATCAGTATAATTAGAACAAAGGAAATTTTTAGAGACCTGACAGAATTTTCTATCAAATTTTTTGAACTTTTCACACTTACTTCCAAATAAGTATAGGAAGAGCAGTAGTGCAGAAGTGAAAAAAAAATAAATAAAAAATAAGCAATATTCCTTTAAATAGAATTAATTAAATTAATATTAATCAGTATAAGGGTGTCATCTAATGCCCTTTTAAACGAATTAATTACTCAGCCTCGGGCGACCGCGGAACTGAAGTCATCGGTTGAGAAGTTGAATTTCAAATCAAGAGACGGTTTGTCATCGACTTGAGCCCACGGTAGAAAGAAATAGTCAAGTGAAATGATTCCAAAGAAAAATTACTTACAGATTGCATTTCGATATTTTTGGACAATAGGTTCTGCCCCTATCGAAATTTTGGTTGGCAATTGCGTAAAATGTCCCTAGGGAACGCAATCTATTATGAGAACTGTAATAAGGCGCGTTTTGCGCATTGTGTGACTTCAGATATTACAACAGAGCCTCTTCAAGTGCCTAAGGAGTTCTTGTATTTGGGCCAAAGAAGTAACTCGAAGTCATTCTTCATTCTTGAGGAAGACACAAGCGAGATTAGGAACAATGACGTGATCGTGATTCATCGAAGCTGATCATAATCTAATGAACAGAGACACGCCCACTTGAAGAAACGCTAGAATAATAAACGTCGTATAAGAATTTAGCAATTCTGTAATGAATTTCACGCAAATTCAACGTTTGATCAGTATAAAGTTTATAGTATATGTAGATAACAATATAAAATTACACACTAAAAGCAATTGATTGATCGTGTCCAAATGAAAAGATAAAACCAATAATTTCACAAATATCAAATCCATATATTATTATTATCGAAACCTGGACTGTCTGCAGCCTTGACTCACATCAGTTACAAAAATGTATTGTTTACGCAATACATTAGCCGATGATCCTGACCTATAGTAAATTTCACCTAAACATTTCTCATCTGCTTTTCTAACCTGTCGCAGACATTTCTCAGCGCCGAGCAAGACATATAGAGATTCGTCAAAAAGGCTGACCTAAAAAAAATGTATTGTTATGTAAAAAAAAAAATAACACACTTGACGCAATCCTAGTTTTCGAAGATTCTAGTGATTTTTCTTAAAATTCTATTTCCCTAGTTTTCCACGGCTTTCTTCTAACATCTGGGCCAAGCTCACCCGACCAATATTGAACTGTAGCTCGTGTACATAACCTATATTTCTGAACGAGCTAGAATATTTACCCTAAAAGCCCCAGGCATACTTAGCGTTAAGGACAACGCACTAAGTACTATCTTGGTTATCAAAGATATATCATAAGTTCCCATTAATTTAATGAACTTCAGCGACGTCAACTTCTTATGTGAACTTCGTCAACGAGTCAGCACTCTCTGTTAAGCGATGCTATTTATTCCTGATCACCATATACATATACCGCAGACTTGCGAACTAAAAGCATTTATATTAATTAAAAGTGTACTCCATTCTTGAAGTGGCAAATATATAACTTGGAAATACTTGTATAATGCCAGGTTGCATCGGGACTTGAACTTCTTTTTGTTCTCCCAACAGAGAAGAGATGGGTGAGTGCTTCTGTAGAGACTTCTATACTTTTCCAAGATGGGTTGAAAAATTCGTTGGAGCAAAGCAACTGGCGGCATCTGCCATTAAGATACAAAGAGTGCGATTCCTGAAGCACTGGAAAAGTTTAAAAGTGGCAACGTAGCTCTAATAAAATATGCATAGTAGCTGAGGTCAATCGGATTTACGTTAGATAATCTAACGTGTAAGGTTAATCGAATGGTGATTGAAGTACCTAGTTGAATCGGCTGTTTTACGTCAGGCCAGGTGAGGTCAGGTTAAGTTAAGTTTGGGGTCAGAGGTTAGTTTAGAGATTCTACCAATTCGTGCAGCTCAATTAGAGTGTACGATCAAACGTTTGTCCCAGGAATTACTGTCTAGATTTAAGTGACGGTTGACGCTGTCGATTTTTGAGGAAACGGAAACCACCAACTTCCACTGATGTCCCAGCAGCGCAGCGGCTTTTAGGTTTCAGGGATTTTAACGAAAATTAAGTCTGCCCTCTAATGGAAAGATTGAGGAGGTTAGAATAAACTGAGGTCAGCCGTACCCACCGGTAGGATGGATCGAGGACGTAGGTACCCACCACCGGTATATACATAGATGGCGTGCTTGTCGGTGGTCGAACACAATTGGAAGGAGTGAAAGCCAGTCGGCGAGTGCTAACTTTGCAGTTTGCCTTTCAATTTGTCGGCTTTATCCGGCGGAAATGAGCGATTAAAAGTTTTTGCGAGTTCGTCGAATTCCTGGGGGTGGGTAAATGAAGGGTAGTGGGGTAGAGGGTGAGTCAGACAATACGATAGTGGATATATAATGGAAGTAGAAAGAAGTTGGCTTGTCCGTTTGTCGACACTAAGATATTCCAATGTATCTCATTATATCAACTTCCGGTTTACTATGTAGCTTCTTTTCGTAAATAAATAATCATCCCTCAGCTTGACGTATCACTAAATGGAAATTTCTTAAGGCAACAACAAGTCACTTCCGCTCTTGCTGACTCTGTACCAGGAGTCACGTGACGAACGTCGATGTTGCGATTTGTGCCCGCGAAAATTAAAACATCCCCTCCAGGCCCTAAAAAGTTTTCCAAAGGGGGGTTTGACATGGGGTTACAGCTTCTTACGGATAATAACAAACTCGGGCATCAACCTACGGCACTTTTACGACAGATGGCTCTGCCGGTCGAATGAAAAGTTTGAACCCACCCCTTGAAGTCAAACTACTATTTACTTCTCCCTGCACTTCCATTATGTTCACGATCACACGGTCTATTACATCCGCCATTCTTCCGTCGGTGCAACCCCATCGTTCCTTTCATCCCTTTTTTTTCCTGCGCCACTTAAACTTCCACCATCGTCCAAAACTTTGGACTCGCGGAAAAAGGCTGACTGGTTTTCCCGCTTGTTTCATCCCAAACAAACGGAAGCCGTCGATTTTGCAGTTTTACTCCAATTCAACGCAGTGTCCAATAGTTAACGTTCAATGCGGTAAAATTGGTATACATACGCATACTATAGACAGTGTACGCAGAAAAAAAATTTCCTAGATCTGCCACCGGAGAAATCCCCCATGAAAATCACTAGAGCCGAAACTTGATCAATCAACTGTCACTACGTGAACGAATAGCGCAAACCCCAAGCGGCTGCTGTATCCACTGTGAAAGTGTATGTAAAGTTATACGTCTCTATATTCCATAGTAGAAACATACTAACTTCACAGAAGTAACTTGAAGTCGGTAACTGGGAATGATTAGTCAGTGAGACGTTCCTCCGTCCGTTGGTACGATTTCGCAACGGTGCTCGAGATCATCCAGACTCGT